AGAGAAGCTGCGTGCGAAGGAGCTTTGGGTGCATGAAATACGACTCGAGCTTCTCGAAGAGACGATACTGGTCGACCGTGTCCCTCCAAATGAGGTCGCGCAGCTCGTCGTCGCGGTCATCCGGCAGGCTGTCGGATGACACAGGCGATGGTCCATACGACCGGAACCGGACGTCCAGAGCGCTTGTTGCGTTCTGGCCCTCGAGCCAGAGCACGTACACGTCTTCCGACAAGAGGACTGGGTCCGTTAAGAACGTGTCGAAGATCTCGCGCATCATCCTTGCGTGGCCGTTGGTTCCCAGCCGCAAGAAACTGATAACGACCGTAAATACCGCTATTTTACGGTAAAATAAAGGAAAACCGCAATTTGACGTCTGAGATGCTTTCAAATCGAGCTGAGACCTGAGCAGTTCCGTCTGTGATGCACTTTACCTCCCTTGCCGATGTCTTGAGTCAATGGATGGAGCCGTCTTCAACAGCAGGCTTGCGATGCGGAGCCAATCCGTGGCTGTCTCCATGTCGTGCTCTGCAATACAACACCTTCGTATGTGCTCAACCCACGCCCTAGCTTGATTGGGCTAGTCGTCCAATCGTCATGCCCTGAGGCCACTTATCACTGAGCAGCGCACAATGAAAACGGCTAGAGCTCGCTACTGTTCGAGCTACATCCGTGAACAACGGCGAAATCAGCCTCCCGCACTTGTAAAACAGCCAACACCCAACAACTTGCTGGCTGTTTACGATGTGCATAGACACAGATATCAACGTGTTCCGCGTTATCTTCCCTACAAAGAGTTCGCATACGTAGTGCTACGCCTGAATGCGTGGGAGTTGGTTCCATGGATGGCGAATGCGTGGGCCGTGAATAGGTTTGTCCCACTCAGAGTACACTCACTCTGAGCGAGTGCCGATTCACTCAGCGGGATGCCTGAGTGAGTGTGTGTGAGTGGGTTGAGTTAGTGTGTGTTGGCCTCACTTCGATCCCCCGCAGAGGATTCTTTTTCGCACATACACTACGGAACGTACTGGCTTCCAATTGTCGTGGCAACGCATGGCTGGGGGAGAGGAAGGAAATACCAATGCAGCGGAGGAACCATCACCGTTTCATGCCTGGAATCGGCACCATGTCGCCCAACACCAGCACCGCTACGACCGCCCCGACGCTTAGTGCAACTACCGGCAAGGGTTTGGAAGCATCTTGGTAAGCTCGAGGAAGACGCTTGGTCCATCGTCGTGTGCCGCGTGTGCCCCAAGTCGAAGCTACCACTCCGTGATTGTCGCGTTGCACTTCATGCGTCGAACTCATAGAATTTGATCCGCCACATGAAGCTTTCTCGACTTCCTCGAGTGCGTTCAATGCTTTGACCTTCCCGACAACTCGAAGGAGAAGGCTGCTCACAGAAACTGGATGCATCTCTCGAAGATTTTTGACGTCAACCTCTGGTGGCGCAAAAACGGCTGCCACCATCGATTCGTCGAGCGCCTTGCAGCTCGAGAGCTCGCGTGTCCGGACTCGAACGCCCTCCAGGAGCGCGTCTTCTCGCTCTGCAAGCTGATCGACTCGCCGTTGCGATGAAAACTCGGCAACGCCAAGTTCGAGATGCTTCTTGTGCTGGCATTCAACAAGAAGTTCATCCGCATGTGCTCAGATGACAGCTTCCTCGCCGAAACCCTTGGGTTGACGACGTCCACGCCGCAAGCCACTGCTACGCTCATCAACTTCTTCGACCTCGACGCCAGCAGACTGAGTCGGCTATCGACATTGCTGATGCGCTTCGTTCCGCGGCGTTGGCCCCCGCCGAGAACACGCCATCGAAGAAGCGCAAGATTTGTACCGCTGGATAGGCATGAGTTAACTCTAAGTAGCTGAGTGCACGCACTATTGTCGTTTGCGAGTTGTGAGTGAGTGCGTAATTACTCACAACGGAAATGGGCCCCACTCGCCATCCCAGGTTGGTACCAGCACTTGGTCGTTGGGAGTGAGCTGCGCACGGAGAGATCCATCCAGTGGTGGACCCCACTCGCCGAGTGATAGCTCGCGCGAGGTCGTACGCAGGCTCCTGTACTCGGACCACCCGACAGAAGAGTGCAAGCCGTTGGGTGTGTTTCAAACGAAACCGTCCGAGCCCGCATCAAAATAAATCCGGATACCACTTCACTGCATCGCGTAGTGTGATGCAGAGTGCGATGTAGCGTGCTCCCGGTCCTTTTGTACAACTGTGGCACGTGGGCCCTGACGCCTACGAGCCTTGCGGGCCTTGACAGCTTCCATCGCCGGCAGCTGCGCCGCCTTCTAGGTATCTTTCACCCGAACAAGCTCGGCGACGTCGCGCTCTACGACCGCTGCGACAGCGTCCCGCTGAGCGAGATCGTTGCCCGCTAGCGCTGGCGCCTACTGGGCCACGTGTTGCGCATGAGTGTAGACGTCCCCGCCAACCTTGCCGCCGCCCGCTCCCGAGGCGCCCCGTTTTTTAGGCCGCACCAAGATCACATTGCCGATCGTCCTGCACCGCGACCTCCAGTCGTCGACGCCGCCTCAGTCGCTGGCGTCTCTCGAGGACCTCAACCAACTGCGTAGCTCTGTCGCCGACGGCACAGCCTGAAAGGCCTTTACACAGCGAGTCGTCATGGGCCTCACCCGCGGCCACAACGCCCCCGGACGACCATAGAAGAGCAAAACGAGCCCCCGCGCCGCTGCCTGCGCAGCCACGGCCCGGCGAGCGAATGAAGAAGAAGGAGATTGCTAGTCTCAACGTATGCGAACTCGTTGTAACAACGAAGATAACGCGAAACACGTTCATATATGTATAGGAAAAGCCCTGTGGACCTACCGCCGCACTCATTGTGCGTATGATGCAGGCTTTGGAGCAACGAAAGTGCCCAAGTAGCAGAATGGTTTGGTTGCGACACGCGCGTCCCGATGGTGAGCAGCACCCGCTCTTGGAATTGAATTGCAGTCGAAAACGTAAATTTGAGCGCAGCGACAGTTTTGTTGCTTATACGTCGGATCCTGGCAGCCAAAGTAGTACAATGCTCCTTCAATGGCGAACGCAGTTCTAAAAAACGTCCGCTTCATTCATTGTTAACGCTGACTTGTTCCGGCGTTCCCCTCGTCGTTGTCGATCCCAGCTTTATCGCTGTTCATGGCGTCATCGTCGAACCCGTCGTTGTCGGCGCACGTGGCAGGTGGAAGCGCAGGCTCATCGTTGCGAGCTGTCAAGCGGTGACACGTCGCAACATCGGTGGGGCGTCAAGGCTCAAATCAAAGTGGGGTTTTGAGTCGAATCCACTTGCCATCTCCCGCTCGGGCTCAGGGTTAGATGGTGGCTGGAAAGAGAGGGCCTAAGATTGCAAGCTCAATCGCACGGAAGCCTTCCGGTGCTTCCATTAAAGCGAACGCTCGAGAGAGAGTTTCGTGACACCGGCAGCCGTAGCCTTCTTCTTCGTCTTCATGTCCGCGAGAGCATGTTCGTGTGCGTCATGGTCAGTACCACCCACTGTGGCAAAACTCGCTGCGCTCGTCAGCAAAATGCGAGGTGCACTGCGTGCCCACACACTGCGCCTGTCTCTGCCGCTACGTGGCCTCACTTCGAGCATCTGACTGCTTCGCCGTTGTAGTAGTGAGCATGGTGACGCCATGCATCCCGCAAAGCTGAGAATCGAGTATCATTATATTTGATTTCACTATACCCATTTCAAGTAATTTATCCGGCAACTTCCGTTTGGCAATCACAGTATGAAAACCCCCGCCAACAGCCCTACATAGACCGCACTGATGCACCATCTAGCGCGCTACGCTCACCAATGCCTTGCGTACTGCGTGCGCGCACTCGCTTCACTCCTGGGGCCGCTTCGCGCCTGAGTCAGCTTCGCCTCCAGACTGTCAGCGCCCTTGGTGATCCTGGGAGGGTGTACCAACTTCTTTTTTCACTTAAAGTAAAGGAACATATCTTTGGCCAAATACAGCACGCTACAAGCATTCGAGCAAGACAGCTTAGGGCGTACTTACTACGCTCGTCCAACCAGAGATTTAACCACGCCAAAACGATACTCACCGTGTTCACCTAGTCGCAAAGGATGTGATATGTTTGCTCGTGGTCTTCAAGGTCGTATTCGGTATCTTTTTTTGAGTAGATCCTGGAAAAAAATGCATTGACCAGAATTTACTTTTTTGTGTTCGGTGATCGGGGTCGCCCCGATGTATATTTTCAGAATCTATGTTTCGAGGCGTATTCCGGCACGTGCAAAGGTAGTCAGGCAATCCAATATAATATTCGAATAGAATACAGACGAAAAAATTAAGCGCGCATTTGAACGGATAGCTCCCATGGCCGTAGCAGCGGCCACATCAGCCATGATGGACAAGCTCCTTCATGACGTTCGGCCCGAAGTTAGGCCACTGCTCCGGTTCGTGCGCCCATAGACGTCATATTTGGATTAACTGGAAGCGCAACGCGACTTACGCCATAATCGCAGTGATCCTGTATGACACATTTTGCATGAACGGTACAAGCCTCGATGCTTTAGTCAAAATAGCGGCACCCTATCAACGGGAGCGTGTACACCCACCCACGCGACGCCGTATGCATTGCTTTTCATTGGCTGACGGCTGAGGCCACGGTGCTTGCTCACGAGGTGTTCTTCCTCGACAAAGGGTTTCCGACCTGCACCACTACTGGATTCGTGGATAATCATGCACAGCCACATGTTTTACGGTGAAGACATCAACGACCTCTTTAGGCGTCAGTCTTTGACGACGATAGCCTAGTCGCTCTTAGCAACATTGCGGGAGGCCTCATACCAGACAATTTCGAGCGCGCGCGTCAAAGGTCGCTTGCACTACGATATTCACGTCAATATTTGCTTCGGTTACAATTCACGGCCGATCCAGGCAAGGGTATATAATAAATGATGGTGTGTCACGCCCATACAAACCTGCAGCGGATGCGGGAGGGACCGTCGTATCCGAACCGTCCGGATGATGTGTTGCGTGCATTTAGCCAATCGTCTTGCATTAATTTCACTACAGTATGGTGCGATCGCCACAAGCCGGGATTTGCGATGACGCTCTAAATGAAGGTCTGCGGCGGCTCGTATGGGGGTAAAACTCGGTCAGCACGTTCATCAGTACATGGTAAAAGTGCCTGCGAAGTTTTGTTCTAAGGCAGGCCGTGAAAGGGCTCCATTTTCATGTTTGTGTGTCCAAGGCATGTCCAACATCGCACTATTGGATGGCCTACGCAGCGCATCTGAATTCGTTTCATGCGTTTCAAAGAAC